GTAACGGCTTGTGTTTCGCTGTAGGTTACGTGTTTCCCTGTGGCCGAACTCTTGCTGTAACGGCTTGTGTTTCGCTGTAGATTACGTGTTTCCCTGTGGCCGAACTCTTGCTGTAACGGCTTGTGTTTCGCTGTAGGTTACGTGTTTCCCTGTGGCCGAACTCTTGCTGTAACGGCTTGTGTTTCGCTGTAGGTTACGTGTTTCCCTGTGGCCGAACTCTTGCTGTAACGGCTTGTGTTTCGCTGTAGGTTACGTGTTTCCCTGTGGCCGAACTCTTGCTGTAACCGCTTGTGTTTCGCTGTAGGTTACGCGTTTCCCTGTGGCCGAACTCTTGCTGTAACGGCTTGTGTTTCGCTGTAGGTTACGTGTTTCCCTGTGGCCGAACTCTTGCTGTAACGGCTTGTGTTTCGCTGTAGGTTACGCGTTTCCCTGTGGCCGAACTCTTGCTGTAACGGCTTGTGTTTCGCTGTAGGTTACGTGTTTCCCTGTGGCCGAACTCTTGCTGTAACGGCTTGTGTTTCGCTGTAGGTTACGTGTTTCCCTGTGGCCGAACTCTTGCTGTAACGGCTTGTGTTTCGCTGCAGGTTACGTGTTTCCCTGTGGCCGAACTCTTGCTGTAACGGCTTGTTTCGCTGTAGGTTACGTGTTTCCCTGTGGCCGAACTCTTGCTGTAACGGCTTGTGTTTCGCTGTAGGTTACGTGTTTCCCTGTGGCCGAACTCTTGCTGTAACGGCTTGTGTTTCGCTGTAGGTTACGTGTTTCCCTGTGGCCGAACTCTTGCTGTAACGGCTTGTGTTTCGCTGCAGGTTACGTGTTTCCCTGTGGCCGAACTCTTGCTGTAACGGCTTGTGTTTCGCTCTAGGTTACATGTTTCCCTGTGGCCGAACTCTTGCTGTAATGGCTTGTGTTTCGCTGTAGATTAAGTGTTTCCCTGTGGCCGAACTCTTGCTGTAACGGCTTGTGTTTCTCTGTAGATTAAGTGTTTCCCTGTGGCCGAACTCTTGCTGTAACGGCTTGTGTTTCTCTGTAGATTAAGTGTTTCCCTGTGGCCGAACTCTTGCTGTAACGGCTTGTGTTTCGCTGCAGGTTACGTGTTTCCCTGTGGCCGAACTCTTGCTGTAACGGCTTGTGGTTCGCTGTAGGTTACGTGTTTCCCTGTGGCCGAACTCTTGCTGTAACGGCTTGTGTTTCGCTGTAGGTTACGTGTTTCCCTGTGGCCGAACTCTTGCTGTAACGGCTTGTGTTTCGCTGTAGGTTACGTGTTTCCCTGTGGCCGAACTCTTGCTGTAACGGCTTGTGTTTCGCTGTAGGTTACGTGTTTCCCTGTGGCCGAACTCTTGCTGTAATGGCTTGTGTTTCGCTGTAGATTAAGTGTTTCCCTGTGGCCGAACTCTTGCTGTAACGGCTTGTGTTTCGCTGTAGGTTACATGTTTCCCTGTGGCCGAACTCTTGCTGTAACGGCTTGTGTTTCGCTGTAGGTTACGTGTTTCCCTGTGGCCGAACTCTTGCTGTAACGGCTTGTGTTTGGCTGTAGATTAAGTGTTTCCCTGTGGCCGAACTCTTGCTGTAACGGCTTGTGTTTCGCTGTAGGTTACGTGTTTCCCTGTGGCCGAACTCTTGCTGTAATGGCTTGTGTTTCGCTGTAGATTAAGTGTTTCCCTGTGGCCGAACTCTTGCTGTAATGGCTTGTGTTTCGCTGTAGATTACGTGTTTCCCTGTGGCCGAACTCTTGCTGTAACGGCTTGTGTTTGGCTGTAGATTAAGTGTTTCCCTGTGGCCGAACTCTTGCTGTAACGGCTTGTGTTTCGCTGTAGGTTACGTGTTTCCCTGTGGCCGAACTCTTGCTGTAATGGCTTGTGTTTCGCTGTAGATTAAGTGTTTCCCTGTGGCCGAACTCTTGCTGTAACGGCTTGTGTTTCGCTGTAGGTTACGTGTTTCCCTGTGGCCGAACTCTTGCTGTAACGGCTTGTGTTTGGGTGTAGATTAAGTGTTTCCCTGTGGCCGAACTCTTGCTGTAACGGCTTGTGTTTCGCTGTAGGTTACGTGTTTCCCTGTGGCCGAACTCTTGCTGTAACGGCTTGTGTTTCGCTGCAGGTTACGTGTTTCCCTGTGGCCGAACTCTTGCTGTAACGGCTTGTGTTTCGCTGTAGGTTACGCGTTTCCCTGTGGCCGAACTCTTGCTGTAACGGCTTGTGTTTCGCTGTAGGTTACGTGTTTCCCTGTGGCCGAACTCTTGCTGTAACGGCTTGTGTTTCGCTGTAGGTTACGTGTTTCCCTGTGGCCGAACTCTTGCTGTGCGGCTTGTGTTTCGCTGTAGGTTACGTGTTTCCCTGTGGCCGAACTCTTGCTGTAACGGCTTGTGTTTCGCTGTAGGTTACGTGTTTCCCTGTGGCCGAACTCTTGCTGTAATGGCTTGTGTTTCGCTGTAGATTAAGTGTTTCCCTGTGGCCGAACTCTTGCTGTAACGGCTTGTTTCGCTGTAGGTTACGTGTTTCCCTGTGGCCGAACTCTTGCTGTAACGGCTTGTGTTTCGCTGTAGGTTACGTGTTTCCCTGTGGCCGAACTCTTGCTGTAACGGCTTGTGTTTCGCTGTAGGTTACGTGTTTCCCTGTGGCGAACTCTTGCTGTAACGGCTTGTGTTTCGCTGTAGGTTACGTGTTTCCCTGTGGCCAAAATCTTGCTGTAACGGCTTGTGTTTCGCTGTAGGTTACGTGTTTCCCTGTGGCCGAACTCTTGCTGTAACGGCTTGTGTTTCGCTGTAGATTACGTGTTTCCCTGTGGCCGAACTCTTGCTGTAACGGCTTGTGTTTCGCTGTAGGTTACGTGTTTCCCTGTGGCCGAACTCTTGCTGTAACGGCTTGTGTTTCGCTGTAGATTACGTGTTTCCCTGTGGCCGAACTCTTGCTGTAACGGCTTGTGTTTCGCTGTAGGTTACGTGTTTCCCTGTGGCCGAACTCTTGCTGTAACGGCTTGTGTTTCGCTGTAGGTTACGTGTTTCCCTGTGGCCGAACTCTTGCTGTAACGGCTTGTGTTTCGCTGTAGGTTACGTGTTTCCCTGTGGCCGAACTCTTGCTGTAACCGCTTGTGTTTCGCTGTAGGTTACGCGTTTCCCTGTGGCCGAACTCTTGCTGTAACGGCTTGTGTTTCGCTGTAGGTTACGTGTTTCCCTGTGGCCGAACTCTTGCTGTAACGGCTTGTGTTTCGCTGTAGGTTACGCGTTTCCCTGTGGCCGAACTCTTGCTGTAACGGCTTGTGTTTCGCTGTAGGTTACGTGTTTCCCTGTGGCCGAACTCTTGCTGTAACGGCTTGTGTTTCGCTGTAGGTTACGTGTTTCCCTGTGGCCGAACTCTTGCTGTAACGGCTTGTGTTTCGCTGCAGGTTACGTGTTTCCCTGTGGCCGAACTCTTGCTGTAACGGCTTGTTTCGCTGTAGGTTACGTGTTTCCCTGTGGCCGAACTCTTGCTGTAACGGCTTGTGTTTCGCTGTAGGTTACGTGTTTCCCTGTGGCCGAACTCTTGCTGTAACGGCTTGTGTTTCGCTGTAGGTTACGTGTTTCCCTGTGGCCGAACTCTTGCTGTAACGGCTTGTGTTTCGCTGCAGGTTACGTGTTTCCCTGTGGCCGAACTCTTGCTGTAACGGCTTGTGTTTCGCTCTAGGTTACATGTTTCCCTGTGGCCGAACTCTTGCTGTAATGGCTTGTGTTTCGCTGTAGATTAAGTGTTTCCCTGTGGCCGAACTCTTGCTGTAACGGCTTGTGTTTCTCTGTAGATTAAGTGTTTCCCTGTGGCCGAACTCTTGCTGTAACGGCTTGTGTTTCTCTGTAGATTAAGTGTTTCCCTGTGGCCGAACTCTTGCTGTAACGGCTTGTGTTTCGCTGCAGGTTACGTGTTTCCCTGTGGCCGAACTCTTGCTGTAACGGCTTGTGGTTCGCTGTAGGTTACGTGTTTCCCTGTGGCCGAACTCTTGCTGTAACGGCTTGTGTTTCGCTGTAGGTTACGTGTTTCCCTGTGGCCGAACTCTTGCTGTAATGGCTTGTGTTTCGCTGTAGATTAAGTGTTTCCCTGTGGCCGAACTCTTGCTGTAACGGCTTGTGTTTCGCTGTAGGTTACATGTTTCCCTGTGGCCGAACTCTTGCTGTAACGGCTTGTGTTTCGCTGTAGGTTACGTGTTTCCCTGTGGCCGAACTCTTGCTGTAACGGCTTGTGTTTGGCTGTAGATTAAGTGTTTCCCTGTGGCCGAACTCTTGCTGTAACGGCTTGTGTTTCGCTGTAGGTTACGTGTTTCCCTGTGGCCGAACTCTTGCTGTAATGGCTTGTGTTTCGCTGTAGATTAAGTGTTTCCCTGTGGCCGAACTCTTGCTGTAATGGCTTGTGTTTCGCTGTAGATTACGTGTTTCCCTGTGGCCGAACTCTTGCTGTAACGGCTTGTGTTTGGCTGTAGATTAAGTGTTTCCCTGTGGCCGAACTCTTGCTGTAACGGCTTGTGTTTCGCTGTAGGTTACGTGTTTCCCTGTGGCCGAACTCTTGCTGTAACGGCTTGTGTTTTGCTGTAGATTAAGTGTTTCCCTGTGGCCGAACTCTTGCTATAATGGCTTGTGTTTCGCTGTAGGTTACGTGTTTCCCTGTGGCCGAACTCTTGCTGTAATGGCTTGTGGTTCGCTGTAGATTAAGTGTTTCCCTGTGGCCGAACTCTTGCTGTAACGGCTTGTGTTTCGCTGTAGGTTACGTGTTTCCCTGTGGCCGAACTCTTGCTGTAACGGCTTGTGTTTCGCTGTAGATTAAGTGTTTCCCTGTGGCCGAACTCTTGCTATAATGGCTTGTGTTTCGCTGTAGGTTACGTGTTTCCCTGTGGCCGAACTCTTGCTGTAACGGCTTGTGTTTCGCTGTAGATTAAGTGTTTCCCTGTGGCCGAACTCTTGCTGTAATGGCTTGTGTTTCGCTGTAGGTTACGTGTTTCCCTGTGGCCGAACTCTTGCTGTAACGGCTTGTGTTTTGCTGCAGGTTACGGAGCGACGGCTCATCTGGAGAGCGGCGGGTTCATCCGCAGTCGTCCCGGCGTTCCTCATCCTGACATCCAGTTCCATTTCCTCCCCTCTCAGGTCATCGATCACGGACGCGTCCCTTCCCAGGTCGAGGCCTTCCAGGTCAGCTTCATACAGCTCTGCCGTGTGTGTGTGTGTTTGTGATACTCACGCCTGAAGATGGGTGTGTACCCAACATTCACAATCTGGAGAACAGACTGTGTGTACATAATGTGTTATGAATCATATCAACAGCAGTATTATTAGTGAGTCACTCACTCACAATGCTGGGGATTTCCAGTCAAGCCAGCTTTATTTCTACAGTACAGATGCGTTCAAAGCTGCTTTACAGTGATAAACAGGAAAGCCAATGATGCAAACCTGATCAGCTATGAATACCGCTCTACAGAAGACTATAGTGCCATTATTCGGCTCAAATCACTAATATTACTGAATATTAAGGCTCTTTTAACCCCAGACTAAACAAGCCAAAGGTGGAGAGCAGAGAGCAATCATATAAATGATTCGCAGTAACATGAACTTGATCACCTTGCAATGAGGTTTGACCATGTGTGACAGTGTTCATTTTTTCAGCTACTTTTTAATTTAGTCTTAGTCTGGTTAACACTTTAGTTTAAGGTCCAAATCTCACTATGAACTAGTTTCTTATCATCATGCATATTACTAGGATATTGGCTGTTTATTAGTACTTATAAAGCACATATTAATGCCTTGTTCAGTACGACAATATTATACATCCCTTAATCCTAAACTTTACAACTTCCTTACTAACTATTGATAAGCAGTTATTAGGAAAAGTCGTAGTTAATAGTTAGTGAGAGTTAAACCATAATCTAAAGTGTGACCCTTAGTCCTATGTAAAATGTACTTTTTAGTTTTTAGCATATTTAGTCAACCTTGTCCTGTTTTTGTTTAGTCAATGAAAACTTAATCAAATAGAGAGAGACAGGGCTGCCAGATTACAGATATATAAGTAAAACACTGTAGAAAACATGATCTTTTAACAGAAAAGCTCTGATTGGGGGATTTAACTTTTTAACTATTTTTTTGTCAACGATATTGCATGTTGATATAGTCACAGTTATGGTTTAATGACCTTATCGCCTCGTCTTAGGTCATCAACAAACATTTTCCGTCCTAGATTTCGTTAAGGAAATAAACAGTAGTGTGTGAACACCCGCAGCTGAGGAAGTGATGTCGTCTCCTGACAGATCATTATAATGCTTCAGTCGTTGCCTGCAGAGGTGATCTGATGTGTGTGTGTGTGTGTGTGTGTGTGTGTGTGTGTGTGTGTGTGTGTATAGGTTCACGTTGGACCCATGAGGAGCACGAGTGTCGGGTGGATCAAGCTGAAGAGTAAAGACCCGAAGGCTCACCCGATCATCCAGCCGAACTACCTCTCCACCGGTGCGTTTACTCCCGGACAGCAACAGTGTCGGCCCAGATCCGGCCCATATCCGGGCCGTGTGAATCCATGTGTTCCAGATGTGGGCCGGATCTGGGCCAACACTGTTGCTGTCTGGGCTCTCATCTAAACCTCCTACGGTTAGAGTTGATTCACACAGTAGGGAATCTCATCATTCTTCATCCCCTAGTGGAGAAAAAGCTTCTGAAATGTTGATCATTCCCAAGTTACGCAGATAACTAGCAGCGTAATGATACCCTCATGTCACGATACGAGATTATTGCGATACTCCAAGACACAATAAAAGGTTATTAAAAAGTGTACTATTGATTAAAATGTTAAATTTGATATTACATTGTGTGTGTAAATGAATAGGCTTTGACATGCTGCTGAAAACCAAAGCAGGACAATAGAGACGCCAGAATAACAATATTCATGATTCTGAAGCTGAAAATACTGGATTATTTTAGACGAATATGCTTGAACTCTTCCACTGACTAGATATATTTAAAATAATGTCGGCCACTTTTACTGGTAACATCAGACATCTGGCATTATCAGGACACACACATATCCCCCATTGCATTATTATACATTATATTCAACATTATAGTTTAATGTAGTACTGACACTAAAACTCTGAAAACTTGAATATTTTCTCACACAGTAATTTTTATTTTGGGTGAACTATCCACAATACATATAGTTGCATTTTTGTATTGCGATATATTGTGACACTCCTACAAATCACCAAATACTAATAGAGGTTGTCCGTCCCACAGACGCTGACGTGTGGGAGTTCAGAGAAAGCGTTAAGCTGACGAGGGAAATCTTCGCTCAGAAAGCCTTCGATGCGTTCCGGGGCCCTGAGGTTCTGCCGGGCCCCGGGGTCCAGTCCGACGCTGAGATCGACGCGTTCGTGCGGCGTAAAGCGGACAGCGCCTACCACCCGTCCTGCACCTGTAAGATGGGCGCCCCGGGGGACGGGGGGGCGGTGGTGGGGCCGGACCTGCGGGTGCACGGGCTCCAGGGCCTTCGGGTGGTGGACGCCTCCGTCATGCCCAGCATGCTCAGCGGGAACCTCAACGCCCCCACCATCATGATCGCGGAGAAGGCGGCGGACGCCATCAAAGGCCTTCCCTCGCTTCACGACCCGGGGGTTCCCGTGTACCGGCCCGCCAGTCTCCACACGCAGAGATGACATCATCAGACCAATAACATCCACGCGCAGAGATGACATCATCAGACCCATAACATCCACAGGCAGAGATGACATCATCAGACCAATAACATCCACACGCAGAGATGACATCATCAGACCAATAACATCCACACGCAGAGATGACATCATCAGACCAATAACATCCACGCGCAGAGATGACATCATCAGACCCATAACATCCACACGCAGAGATGACATCATCAGACCAATAACATCCACACGCAGAGATGACATCATCAGACCAATAACATCCACGCGCAGAGATGACATCATCAGACCAATAACATCCACACACAGAGATGACATCATCAGACCAATAACATCCACACGCAGAGATGACATCATCAGACCAATAACATCCACACGCAGAGATGACATCATCAGACGAATAACATCCACACGCAGAGATGACATCATCAGACCAATAACATCCACGCGCAGAGATGACATCATCAGACCAATAACATCCACACGCAGAGATGACATCATCAGACCAATAAGATCCACACGCAGAGATGACATCATCAGACCAATAACATCCACGCGCAGAGATGACATCATCAGACCAATAACATCCACACGCAGAGATGACATCATCAGACCAATAACATCCACACGCAGAGATGACATCATCAGACCAATAACATCCACGCGCAGAGATGACATCATCAGACCCATAACATCCACACGCAGAGATGACATCATCAGACCAATAAGATCCACACGCAGAGATGACATCATCAGACCCATAACATCCACACGCAGAGATGACATCATCAGACCCATAACATCCACACGCAGAGATGACATCATCAGACCAATAACATCCACGCGCAGAGATGACATCATCAGACCCATAACATCCACGCGCAGAGATGACATCATCAGACCAATAACATCCACACGCAGAGATGACATCATCAGACCCATAACATCCACACACAGAGATGACATCATCAGACCCATAACATCCACGCGCAGAGATGACATCATCAGACCCATAACATCCACACACAGAGATGACATCATCAGACCCATAACATCCACACACAGAGATGACATCATCAGACCCATAACATCCACACGCAGAGATGACATCATCAGACCCATAACATCCACACACAGAGATGACATCATCAGACCAATAACATCCACACACAGAGATGACATCATCAGACCCATAACATCCACACACAGAGATGACATCATCAGACCAATAACATCCACACACAGAGATGACATCATCAGACCCATAACATCCACGCGCAGAGATGACATCATCAGACCAATAACATCCACGCGCAGAGATGACATCATCAGACCATCAATATATCAGACATCATCAGAAATTTGTCCACACGCAGAGATGACATCATCAGACCCATAACATCCACACGCAGAGATGACATCATCAGACCAATAACATCCACACGCAGAGATGACATCATCAGACCATCAATATATCAGACATCATCAGAAATTTGTCCACACGCAGAGATGACATCATCAGACCCATAACATCCACACGCAGAGATGACATCATCAGACCAATAACATCCACACGCAGAGATGACATCATCAGACCATCAATATATCAGACATCATCAGAAATTTGTCCACACGCAGAGATGACATCATCAGACCCATAACATCCACACGCAGAGATGACATCATCAGACCCATAACATCCACACACAGAGATGACATCATCAGACCCATAACATCCACACGCAGAGATGACATCATCAGACCCATAACATCCACACGCAGAGATGACATCATCAGACCAATAACATCCACACGCAGAGATGACATCATCAGACCCATAACATCCACACACAGAGATGACATCATCAGACCAATAACATCCACGCGCAGAGATGACATCATCAGACCAATAACATCCACACGCAGAGATGACATCATCAGACCCATAACATCCACGCGCAGAGATGACATCATCAGACCCATAACATCCACACACAGAGATGACATCATCAGACCCATAACATCCACACACAGAGATGACATCATCAGACCAATAACATCCACACGCAGAGATGACATCATCAGACCAATAACATCCACGCGCAGAGATGACATCATCAGACCCATAACATCCACACACAGAGATGACATCATCAGACCAATAACATCCACGCGCAGAGATGACATCATCAGACCAATAACATCCACACACAGAGATGACATCATGACATCAAGTTGTTTCAAACCTGTAAGAATTTCTTTCTTCTGCTGAACATGGTATTCATGGTATTTGTTTTCCTGCTATAGAACTCAATGGGGTCCATCAACTGCTTACAGACTATTATAAATTGTGTTCAGCAGAAGAAAGAAATTCTTTCAGGTTTGAAACAACTTGAGGGCGAGTAAATGATGACAGATGTTTCATTTTTAAGTGAACTATCCCTTTAAGACGGATCGTTGCTGAATTGGCTTCATATTGTTTTTTCTCCTCAGAATAAGAATATGAAGCTTGTTTTAGGATCATACAGATTTGATGTTTTACTCTCAAAGTCTTATTATTGAGTTCTCATTATTCTCAAAGTTGAGTCTTATTAGCTTCTCGTTACTGTAAAAGATTAAAGCACATAGGGTAACGGTTTACAATAATGTTTCATCTGATATCAACGAACAACACTAATGTTAACTAAAGCCTGTACAATAAATATTTGATGGTATATAATATTTTTTTAATATTTCAGTGCAGCTCAGTACCTTAATGGTCCTGAAATGGGTTTATTGATCAGTAGCTGTTCATTCTTTTGATTTTGAGGTGAATTATGACCAGATGTGATCTTGATCTTAATGAAAATCATGTATTTCCACATCATCATTATCATGACAGGATTATGACGAGTGAATTAAACACTAATGACAGGAATCGAGCATCTGTGCAAATAAGAGACTTTTACACTTGGGTTTTTATCATTGGTTTGAAACACTTATTAGATTAAAATAGAATAAGAAAAATAATATAATAAAACACTGTTTAAAAGATTGAAAATGCATGTAAAAGCACTACAATAAATGGTCTTTTAAATCAAAAATAATAAAATGATTAAATTATATGTCTCCTGAGTATTGATTTGAATGATTAACCCTTGCATGGAATAATTTGCACAACACCGAAGAGCTTTGCTTCGTCTTCATTTCAATAATGCCAGTAAAGGAAATAAAATACACTGCGATTAAAACTCTGTCATACTGTATCCATGAACCTGTTAATCCTTTTTTATATATATATATATTTACATTTTCAAATTAAACAAACAAACAAACAAACAAACAAACAGGGCTCAGATGCAGCTATTGCCAGTTGTTTACAGTCATATTTAGTACAGGAGGAAAGGTTGTTAATACAGGAACACAATTAGTTTACTGTAATTTAGCTTTTTCAAAATGAGTTAAGAATGCGTTCCAAGAACGAAAAAATGTGTCCATTTGACTAGTGCGGAGTTTTTCCATTTGTATTATGGATAGCATATCAATGACCCATACCTGAAAAGAAGGAGGAGTGGGAGACTTCCATTACTTCAATATCAGTCTCTTGGCAACTATCGATCCCAGTTCCAATGGTTGCCGCATTATAGTTGGAATTGCCCTTGTTATTTGTGAGCAGCCAAAAATAGCAAGTCCAGCCTCGGGCTGAAGGGGTCTCTGATATGCTTTGGAGCAGTGGCGTAGGTTTGATTTTGAAATTGGTGGGGACGGGGACATCAATATATTATATAACTATATTTTAAGTTTTGATCGAAATTATTGCTAGGGATATATCAGTGTCACTGGATATTGGTAGGGTCCCTAGCGTCCCTACTAAATTCTACGCCCCTGCTTTTGGAGTACCTGTCAAATATTCTAGACCAAACGTTTGCCAATGAAGAGCAGGCCCTAAAAGCATGGGACAGTGTACCTTCTGACATATTACTACACCTGTCACACACTGGGGAAACTGATGGATATATTCTATCTAATCTGGCTTTGGAATAATGTAAGCGATGGACAATCTTAAATTGAATTAATTGGTGTCTGCTGTTTATAGAGCAGGAATGAATATTAGACAAACACGTGTTCCACGTGGATTCAGATAGTTCCACACCTAACTCTTCCTTCCAAGTATCCCTAGTTTTCACAGTGTGCGCAACAATACAGTCATCAAATAGACGTACAATTCTGTAATGCCTAACCTGCAAATTCCCGAAAGAAATGGGAATTAGGGAGATTATATTTTTCTTTCAGTTGGTTGAATGATGCAAATTTACCGTCAATGTACAGATTATTAACTGAAACCAAGCCCTTCTTTCTCCAGTCATGGTACGATATGTTATTCCAGGGAGGCAGAAAACAATGGTTAAAACATATAGGTGTTTGTACTGATGTACTTGGTAGTTTTAGAAAGCACCTAACCTGGTTTAAAATTCTTACTGACTGTTTTACCACAAAGCATAAATTCTTATAGGTCTCTGGCTTTTCAAACTTGGAAAATAACATAGCTGGCAATGAAGAATTATTCACAGAGTTGGCCTCCATCTTAAGCCACAAAGGGGTTGTAAGCGTCTGATTATCCAGGGATCCCTGCTGCCAGAACATTAAAGTCGGCATGAAACATAGGTTGAGATTGTCATTTTTTCCTTGTTGTGACGTATATCCGAGTGAAACGGCTTTAAAAAAAAAAAAAAAATGTAGGGCGGGGCTTGATTTCGTCCTTCGGGAATTGATTGGATCGTTGGAGGTTGGGCGTTGCAAACAAAATGGAGGCAGATTTGAATGTATCTTCTCTGAGAGGCGGTGCACCGATAGCCGCACCCTCATCGGCTCTGGCCGCACCCTTTCGCCATGGCACGTGACCGAAAGAGAAGAGAGGTCGTTTCGAGGGGGGAGGGAAGGGTAATGTATTTGATTAAAGATTATAAGGGTACATGAATTTTTAAAAAATAATGAAGTGCACAGATAAATCATTTATAATAAACACTACAATATTACATATAAAAATAAGATTTGTCAAATTTGATTTCATGCCGACTTTAATGCACTAATATTGGCAGCCCAGTAATAGTGTTTAAATACAGGGAGGTTCAACCCTC